GATATTAATCTGTTCCAGAGAGCTTGTCGTTAGGTGAATTTATTGTTAGTCAAATTAATTTTCCCCTTAAGAAATAATGGAAATCCAATTAATCCATTCCAGACACCCAAAAGTATGAAATTTTTTTTTTTTCACATGAAATATACATTTTCCTACACAGAAAAACAAGGATACATGCACAATAAATACTGTACTAAATGAAAAATAAGTGACGCTTTATTGAAGATGTAGTGATGAGACACTTTTTCTTGAACACACTGGGATTTTCAGAGTGATACATAAGTGAAGGCTTCACTTTGCAATCCCCACTAGCACTACAACAAAACATGAGAGTTAGCCTGTTTTTCATAGGCTTGTGTCCTGGAAGTGCCTTTTCCTCCTGAGTAATGTAGGTCCTGTTTGGCATTTTCTTCCAGAACAGGCCTGTTTCGTCACAATTGAACACTTGTTGGGGTTGGAATTTTTCAGCTTCGCCATGCCTTATCACACTGTGTATGCCACTACTATTCTTTAATCTCTCAAACCAACCTTTGCTGACCTTAAATTCACCAATATGAGCACTAGTTCCAGGCATTTTTTCCTGTTTATCTGGATGTTAGTCAACTGGTGTGGATTGCATCCTGGGGGACAAGATTAAAGACCCCAGTGGAAATAAATTAGACAGTCCTTGATGTTGCACTGACTTTCTTGGGTTATCCTGGGTGTTAATTTTTTCTCATTAAGCCACACCAACAACAGTCTCTCCACATCTTCGAGTAGTATAGCTGACGGTGGTGCAGCAGCAGTTGACCGTGGTACAGCAACAGCTGATTGTGGTACAGCAGCAGCTGACCGTGGTACAGTGGCAGCTGATGGTGATGCAGCAACAGCTGACTGTGGTACTATAGTACAGTGGACCCTCAACCAATGACGGCATCGACTAACGGCGCTCTTTGGCGTCAAAAAATTGGCTCTACCAACGGCGAAAAACTAAAGGCTTTCGTCCTGAACGTTTCCATGCAGCCTGAGCGTGGCCTGAGCGGGCCCAGCCACTCCAAGACTCCATGTACAGCCAATGTGCCAGTGTTTACAAGCCATTTTGGTCAATTCCACGTGTACCTGCGATATATTTTGTATTATTCCAGTGTTTTTAGTGCTTGTAAACGCTAAATAAGCTATCATGGGCCCAAAGAAAGTTTCTACTTCCAGCCCTGTGATAAGGAAAGAAACATTAAAATTCAAGAAAAACCTCGTAGCAAAGTACCAAAGTGGAGGAGGAAGAGAGAGGGGAGAATGTGCCTTCTGCAGTGATTCTACGATATGTACGATACTAAAGTAGCAGGTATCGATAAAGGCTATAGTGCCAGCCGGCGATAAAGTGTAGAATTAACAGTGTAGCAAGTAAGTTAAGCGAGAAAGCGATAGAAAAACGACTCGAAAGTAACTCTTTAGTGTTGCTGGATGTGTGTATATCCGCTAAACATACGCCGGCTTGCTATCTTCCACTACCCTAAACCTCTCCTAGCATCTCCTCCATCAAACTAACTAATTAAACTAACATCTCCCCTAAGGTAAGTGTAAATATAAAAGTGTAAGCATAAAAGTAAATGTATTGTAAATATAAAAGAACCCCAATGGAAATATGTAAATCACTCTGACTTTTTTGGGTTATCCTAGGTACTTTACACATATGCTGCTATGTATGATAATCTATGTAACTGTATTTGTGTATATCTGAATAAACTTATTTATAAATTAAAATGTAAATATTTCTTATTTATAAATTACATGTCATGTTTCTGTGTTATTAATATTGTTTGTAATGTCACAGATGAATTGTGATAGATAACTAAGCCGTAGAGATGATATTAGTCATATTGAAGCATAATAAACTTACCTTACTCTTGCCTCCTACATGTCTGTCATACACCAACAAGTCAAGTCAATAAAGGTAAGTATGATGTTAAGACTACAAATATTTTAAGGTAAGTAATGAGTGAACTGTATATACTTTTTTATCGCTCTGGTCTTAAAAGTAAAAAGAAATTTTGTAGGGGGTTGGCCGGTTTGGTACCCAGTGACTACCATACATACCCACTTGATTTTTTACAATAAATACTCTCATCTCACCCATATTTTTAAAGGGAAGTAATGGTGAACTGTATATACATTTTTCGCTCTGGGGTGCTTAAATATCAAGAATTTTGTGGGTGGGGTGGCCTGGGTTTTTAGGGCCCGGGGACTACCATAATCCACACTTTTTCTTACAATAAATATACTGTCTCACCCTAGATTAAAATAAAATTTTAAGGTAAGTAATGAGTGCACTATGGTGATTGTACTTTTTATTGTTTTTTGATGCTGGTTCTATTGCAAAATTAATATATTTTATGTAAACTTGTTTTCTAGGGTTTGTATGCATTTGTAATGGAAAAAAAAAAGGGGGTTCCACTTTACGGCGGGGCCCGGAAAATAACCACCGTATAAAAGGGGGCCCTACTGTTATATATAAAAAATATATTAATTTATATATATATTATATATATTATATAAATATAAATTTTTATATATATATATATAATTATAATTTATATCTATTAATAAAATAAATATATATATATATATAATATATATATATAAATAATATATAAATATATTTAATATATATATATGTCGTGCCGTATTAAAAATGGCCAATTAGCAAGAACTCATTTAAAATTAAGTCCTTTCTAAAAAAAATTCTTATACGTTTAAAAATATATTTTTTTCATTAATGTTAATGTAAAAATTTTTAATTTTGCACCAAAAGAATCTTAGAAAACTTACCTAACCTTATTATAACAAGAGCAATTTATTTTAGCCTAACCCAACTAAATATATTTTAAATACGTTTCCAATAATTTAATACTAAACAAACACAATCAAATATATTTTTTTCGCTAGGTTCAGAATGATTTTGGTGAAATTATTGCATACACAAATTTTCACTTGTCCTATATGGCAAGATGAGCGTTGCTATTTAAGCCAAGATCGCAAATTCTGCCTATTCGGCACGACATATATATATATTATATATATATATATATATATATATAATTATATATATATATATATATATATATATATATATATATATATATATAATACAGTGGTCCCTCGATTATCGACGGTAATCCGTTCCTGGAAGCCGGTCGATTATCGAAATGGTCGATTTACGAATCAATTTTCCCCATAAGAAATAATGTAAATTCAATTAATCCGTTCCTGACACCCAGAAGTATTAAAACAAAAAAATTTTTTACATGAAATATTCATGTAGTACATAAACAGTACAATGGGAAATGATGAATGAAACATTAACAGCATAACACTTACCTTTATTGGAGATTCTTCTTAGTGTATGGGAGACTGGAGGAGGAGGAGAGAGTGGATTGTTTATAGTTTGGAAGGGGAATCCCTTCCAGCAACACCTCAGGTACCATTTGCTTTTCTGGGGTTGCTTCTTTTCTCTGTTTCTTAATGCCACTAGGACCAGCTTGAGAGTCGCTGGAGTCCTGTCTCGCAAAATAACTGTGCAGAGAGCTCTGTTTCTGGCGTCTCTTTAAAACTTCCCTAAAATGGGCCAAGACTCTGTCACTGTACAAGTTGCCGATATGGCTTGCAACATCCTTCTCTGGGTGATGTTTCTCCATAAATCTTTCCATCTTACCCCACATAGTAAAAATCTCCTTAATTTCTGAAGAAGGCACCTTCTTCCATCTCTCTTCCTCCTCCTCTGCAGCAAGATTCTGAGCTGCGATCTGTTGCTCTTCCTGCTGAAGCTCTTGCAGCTCCTCAGTGGTTAGCTCTTCGTTGTGGTCCTCCACCAACGCTTCCACATCCTCCAAACTCACATCCAACCCCATGGAACTCCCCAGTGCCACAATAGAGTTCAAAACTGACATAGGCTCATCAGGGTCAGCCCCAAACCCTTCCAAATCCCTCTTGTCGACACAATCTGGCCACAATTTCTTTGGAGCCATGGTAGCTTATTTAGCACTTAAATAACTTGCAAGCACTAAAATAAATGAAATATTATGAAATATTTCACTGGAGCACGTGAGAGGACCGCCGCTAACTGGTAAACAATGGCACACTGGTTGGGAAGGAAGGCTGAGGCGGGTCGAGGCCCGCTTACCTCGTGCATATGCGTCTGGGACAACGGGTCGAGACGGATCGATAAACGAATTTCGGTCAATTTCCGAGTCAATATTTTGTCAAAAAAACCGGTTGATTTCCGAAATGGTCGACTTTCAGGCCGGTCGATTATTGAGGGACCACTGTATATATATATATATATATATATATATATATATATATATATATATATATATATATAAATATATATATATATATATATACATGTATATATATATATATATATATATATATATATATATATATATATATATATATACATGTATATATATACAGTGGACCCCCGGTTAACGATATTTTTTCACTCCAGAAGTATGTTCAGGTGCCAGTACTGACCGAATTTGTTCCCATAAGGAATATTCTGAAGTAGATTAGTCCATTTCAGACCCCCAAACATACACGTACAAACGCACTTACATAAATACACTTACATAATTGGTCACATTCGGAGGTGATCGTTATGCGGGGGTCCACTGTATATATTTTTCAACAAGTCGGTCGTCTCCCACCGAGGCAGGGTGACCCAAAAAAAGAAAGAAAATCCCCAAAAAGAAAATACTTTTATCATCATTCAACACTTTCACCACACTCACACATTATCATTATCATTATATATATATATATATATATATATATATATATATATATATATATATATATATATATACACACACACACACACACACACACACACACACACACACACACACACACACACACACACACACACACACACACACACACACACACACACACACAGGTGGGGCCAGGAGCTGTGAATCGACCCCTGCAACCACAAATAGGTGAGTACACTACTACTGTACCTTATTGAAATTGAATTGCTAAAGAAACCAGGAAGGCTGGAGAAAATATGAGTGTGTAAGCTGGTGGTGGAACTTGCATGGCTTCAGAAGATGCCATTGCATCAGTGTCTATAGTTCATTCACTTTTATCTAAAATGTTTTATGATGCAGTACACCATTCTGGTTTTAAGAAGACAAAATCTCCTGATTAGCACATATTTGTATTAACCTTTGTCCAAGTAAAATGCTCTTGTTGAAGAAATGTCATATAAATGAAAATTGATGAAAGGAAAATGGAAACAAGTGGCATCTAATACTCTGTGTACTAACTAGTATAAAAGTGTCTCATGTGGGGTACACCTAGCTTCTTGTCCCTGTAATAGTTTTGTCAGTTACAAATTTGTAAAGCTGTAAAGAGGATCATTTACTACATATATAAAGTTCACACAGCATTAAGTTTACTCTGAACTCTTGTTCCTCCTTGTCATTAGAAGTGCTCTTTATATCATTATCATCATGGCTAATCAATCAAATGTACTGTTCTTACAGCCACCAAAAATTCGGCATCTGTTGTACAACGCTCTCAGTCCACAAGGGAAAGGTTAGTAATTCTTTATGTATTTAATATCTGTTGTTACAAATGAAGAATAATATATTTAACCTGTTCTTGGAAATTTGTTTTTCTAAAATACATCTGATGATGATGATGATGATGTGTTAATAGTTATGTTTTACAGTGTGCCAAGTACAAATATTACAAAATAGCCATGGGGTAAGTATTGTAATGTTTGCATGAAGGTGTTTTTTATAGATATTAAAAGGGGAATTGTGTAAATTGTTGTAGCATGGACATGTACTTGAACATAGTGCATTAACAGTCAAATTATGTACTGTTATGTCTTCATAACTTCATGTGTGTATGAAATTACCTATTGAAATAATGCCTTCTCCTGTATATGTTGAGTTGCAAAATTATTAGTAAAGGTAATTAGCAACTTTTCTTGATTTATTGTAAATACCCTTCTGCTCTTTTTTGCCTAGTGTTGTAAAGTGACTCATTTACAATATCTTGTAACATTGCTTGTAGTGTGTACCTGTAAAGTAGATTATTCTAGCATAACATCCCTCTTCCCACATAAGCGCACAATTTATATTTGTCTTCGCACTTCTTGACCTAGTCTCACTTGTATACTGTCTACATTATTCTTTAGCTGTATCTATGTCTTACAAACCTACTTATCTATCTATATCTCTGATGCCTTGGTAGCTCTTTATCTTTGATGGACAATTGCCTATAAGTGACAAGATGTATGCAAGAGCATCAAAAACATTTGCCAAAAAAAGCACCTTTTGGGTATGACTGTTGTAAAAGACTGATAATTGCTTGAAGCAAGCACATAAAAGTGTGAAAAGTGATAGGTAAGAAACATAAATAGATAATAATAAGTGACAAATACAAAAATTTAGAATGAAAAGGTTTTGATTGGAAGGTCAATGTAGAGGTCGAGTAAGTGAATTGAGTCACAAGTGAAACTATAACATACAATTAGTAAAGGAATCCATCATTAGGGTTAGTGGGCACATCTACTTCCTTCACAGTAGTGCATCCTTGCAGGGCATTAGCTCACTTACTCTGCTACCCAAGATGTTATATGTATATAGTACATATTTAGTTTTTTCTTATCAACTTACCTTGTATTAATTATTGCAAATTTGTCTCTTTTTCAATCTTTTTCTTATGATATTCTGATATCTCAGATACATTTCTGGTAGAGTAATAGCACTGCTAACTCCGTAAAGTAGTCTTGTACTGTACAAGGGAGCTATATTTTTCTGCATATTTAAACATTCCGAGTATGAAAAGGTGATCCGAGTACATGAAAGCAAGATATACTCCTGCTGTGTGTACCTTCAACAGACTGTTGTATTGTGTGGCATATGGCAGTCAGGCAACTGAAACTGAGTATGGAGCGGCTACGTTCCCACCTGCAGCAGCAAAACACCAGAACCTATGAGGTCATTGAGACCCCAGTTACAGGTTAGCTCCCAGCAAGAGCCACACCCAATCTCTAAACTTTCTGTGTAAAGCCCTTAAAGCTTAATAAAAGGCATCTTGATAAAAAAAAATGATTCACTAATAATTTTGCTTTTCCCAAGAGGTGTTATGAGTCACACGTGCGTGTGTTGGTGTTGCTTTCTTCTGGCATGACAGTTAACAAATCAGTTGTAACTGGCAATGTTACTGTTATTGCATTCAAGAATAACAGGTTAGAGCTGCATCCAGAATTGTGATTATCAGTGTTTGTATTTTAAATTCACAGTTTTTTTTTTTTTTTTTTTTTTTTGGGTCTGTGCGTAAATGTTTTGTGTTTTACTTTGGAACATAAAGCAGACATTATTCATTTCTTCCCTGTTACACAGTTTTCAGAAAAACTTCTTTCATATCTGGAATGCTGCATGTTTCACCTGATTTGCTTTTATTTCTTAATATGAGACAATATTTTTCTAGTAGTGTCTAATTTTTCATTCACAGTCCTCTCTGACCAGTTTCAGCCTTTTGTTATTGAGAGCTTTTTCACAGAATCTATTAAATTGGTTAAGACACTTCACTTCCGGTAAATTCCTTAGAAACTTTTTTTTTCATTTGTCTATTGTACTTCTTTTTTTAGTGACAGCATTCATGAATTTTGCTATTTTATAAGGCTTCATGTTAATTTTTCTCCATTTTATAAAAAGACATTATTTTCTTTTATTCCTCTATAGAATATATAATGATAATGTTAAAGTACAATATTGTATTAACAAAAATAATTGTAATATAGTAGTGTACTGCTATAGCAACAATAGTAATCAATATAATATAGTAACTGTGACTAATTATTATGCTGATAATTACCTAAAAGAAAAAGAAGGAAATTTTTAAGGCATTTTCCTTCTCTGGGTCATCTGGCCTTTGTGGGAAATGGCCAATTTGTTAAAAGGTAATCCAATGAGAATAATATTTTTTTAAGACAACAGCTGTCTCCCACCAAGGCAAGGTAACTCAAAAAAGAAGAAAGTGAAGTTTTTCTTCTTTTTTACATTTAGTAATTTATGCAGTAGTAGTTACTAGCCCCTTGGTAGTTGCCACTTACAACATGTATGGCTTATGGAGGAGGGACTCCTTTCCATGTCCCATGGAGTAGTAATACAGTGGAACCACGACTTATGAGTGCCCCAATATACAAGTTTTTCGAGATACAAGCCATCACTCGGTCGATTTTTTGCCCTGAGTTATGAGCCAAAATCCGAGTTACAAGCGAACTTCCTCCTCAACCCACAACCCGCACACCTTGCTTGTGTTTATCTCTGATTTCATGCTTTAATTCCATGGACATCATCCTCTTTTTCTTCTCATCACTGTCCTTTGCATTTACTTTATTAGGACCCATGGTTAGAAAAAAGAAATTTGGCAAAGTAACTGCACAAAACGCAAGCAAAACAGAAGAGAAATGCTTCCATGGCGAGGTAAACAGTGCATTGCTCAGCTGATGTTGTGGCTTTCGCTGAGCCAACTAGTGACGGCGTTCTGAAGCTCTGAAGCTCCTCATTATTATTATTAATTTAGGGAACTGGAGCACAGAGCCCTAAATCAAGAGCCCCTCACCAGGATCAAGGTTCCTTGACTGAGCCTAGCACAGCTGTCATGGGCCTGCTGTACTACTGCATAAAGTGAAGGATACCTCTACCTATTCACACATTATATTAAGGAAGGTGCTTTGCTGTTGGTGAAGGGATCATGATCCAAGTAAAAGTAGCTACCATTCTCTTCCATAGATTCAACCATCTTATGCCCATCACGAGCGATGGACATAAGAGCTTTCTGTACAAGAGGCTCAGATGCTCAGGGCTGACTAATATCAGCTGTCAAAACCACAGGTCACACCGGGTGACAAGTAACAAGAGGTGATACACAGTGGTCTGGGCGTAGACCTGTGGTCGACTCACAGCTGGGCTCAAGACCACACAGCATCGTGGGTGACATCATAGGAGTGATGCGGGCAGCAGATCACAACATGTGGCCTAGGACATCTGGCTTGGTAACCCATGTTGCTTGTAAATCCACGTGACATCGTCCACACCCCATGTGGCCTCCTCCATGTGGCTTTGTGATCTACGTGGTATACTGATCCACGTGGCTTGGTGATCCACGTGGCTTTGAGTGGCCTCAGGCACTTGGATACACAGCTCTGGCAATGAATTCACACAGAAAAGAGCAGAAAACACAGCAGAGGGAGTGAGTACAGTGGTGGAGTGTGGTGGTAGGCAGGTGAGGTGTGAGTGAGGCAAGGAACCTGGCCACTTCCTCTCCCACATACCCACTTGGAGAAACACCAACCCTGGACGCTGAAATCACCACAAACTTACCTCTGACTTGCTGAAATAGCCGTGCTGAGCTGAACAACAACAGAACCATACGCTGAACATGTGACTTGAACAGCGTGGGATGCTGTGGCATGGAGTCACAGGGACGCCACTTGCAATTCTCGAAGAAATTCAGTAAATTTCTGCCAAATCCTGCTTGTACCTGTGTCTGGATGCTGAAACGTGCAGACACGACATCAGGATAACTCGTTGAGAGACGGATGCTTCTTGTGTGGGGGGATGAAGTGAAGACAACTTCATCCCTCTTCCTTCCCTCCTTGGGCAACACAACCGCTGTGACCACCGCTTCCACCAATGTTTATGCATTTATTGGTGATTCTTGGTAGTGGGGAGTAATGATGAAGGCTTCAGAGGCTTCTTACTTTATTTGCAATGTCGTGGGGTACACAGGCAGTGTGTTAAGTGTCCATGGCCCGGGAGGGAGAGAGGAGTTGTTCTTGTTGACTGAGTGAAGGCCGCTGAGAGAGTGAGGTACAGGCAGGGGTGGGCAGGCTGGCATGCCCACTGAGAGGCCTGGCCTCTGGTGGAAACTATGGGAATTAGGCATGTACGTTCACTGGTTACCCTTTCCCATACTCCCCTACTCTCTCCCAATACCCCCTTGGACCCCCTAATCTCTCCCTGCCACTGTCCCCCCCACCTCATATCCTTCTCCCCCTGCCCTACCTCCCTCCCCCTTCCCCTCCATACAACACCCATCCTCACACAAACACCCACTCCGAAAATACACAAGCTTCGTTCTGTGGCATAATGGCTTGCCTAAGAACAAGGCCAAAAACCAAGGGTCTGGGAGGCAGAGTTCAAAAAAAAGGGAAGAAGACTGGGGAAGGAAGCTAGAAGAGCTTGGCAGGAAAATGGAGGAGATGATAGCTGCAGAGAGCAGAAAGTGGCAGCAACAAGCCATAGTAGCAGAAGATAAGATACAGTGCTTAGAACAGGAACTGAGAAATCTGAAACAGCTTAAAGAGAAAAATGACAGAACAGACATAACATGAGGAACTTCTACATCAGGCACAGACAAGGAGACTGGAGGGAGCAAAGAAGCTATACTGTATGCAAAGGCCCTATCAGACCCACGCGGGGCCAAGGCTCAGGTGCGTATAACAGGAAAGGAACTTCAGCGGATTAGAGAATACCTGACAGGGAGGCAACAATGAGTCATGGCGCGTGATGAGGTATCACAGTGGGCGCCTGTGATGAGCAGGGTCCCACAGGGGTCAGTCCTGGGACCAGTGTTATTTTTGGTATATGTGAATGACATGATGGAAGGGATAGACTCAGAAGTGTCCCTGTTCGCAGATGATGTGAAGTTAATGGGGAAAATTAAATCTGATGAGGATCAGGCGAGACTACAAAGAGACCTGGACAGGCTGAACACATGGTCCAGCAACTGGCTTCTCGAATTCAACCCCATCAAATCCAAAGTCATGAAGATTGGGGAAGGGCAAAGAAGACCACAGACAGAGTATAGGCTAGGTGGCCAAAGACTGCAAACCTCACTCAAGGAGAAAGATCTTGGGGTGAGCATAACACCGAACTCATTTCCGGAAGCACGCATCAACCAGATGACTGCTGCAGCATGTGGGTGCCTGGCAAAACTGAGAATAGCATTCTGACACCTTAGTAAGGAATCATTCAAGACACTGTACACTGTGTACGTCAGCCCCATACTGGAGTATGCAGCACCAGTTTGGAACCCACTCCTGGGAAATCGGCTTGATGACAGTGAAGGAAAGAAGGGTTAGAGGAGACATGATAACATACAAAATACTGCTTGGAATAGGTAAGGTGGACAGAGACAGGATGTTCCAGAGAGGGGACAGAAACAAGGGGTCACAATTGTAAGCTGAAGACTCAGACAAGTCAAAGGGATGTTAGGAAGTATTTCTTCAGTCATAGAGTTGTCAGGAAGTGGAATAGTCCAGCAAGTGAGGTAGTGGAGGCAGGAACCATACATAGCTTTAAGATGAGGTATGATAGCATTCAGTGAAGAGGAGGGAACTGAGTCTTGACCCCTGCAATCACAATTAGGTGAGTACACACACACACACACACACACACACACACACACACACACACACACACACACACACACACACACACACACACAACACACACACACACACACACACACACACACACACACACACACAGGAGCTAGGACTCAACCCCTGCAACCTCAACTAGGTGAGTACACACACAAGCATGCACGCACACATGGGGGGGGGGGGGATGCAGAACTTCCTGAATGGGGCTCAGTGGGACAGAGAACTGGCAAATGAGATGATGGAATACATGACAACAGTATTCAAAGAAGCTGAGGAGAGGTTTGTACCCAAGGGTAACTGGAATAATGAAAAAGCCAGGATGAGCCCATGGTTCACTCAAAGGTGCAGGGAGGCCAAAACCAAGTGTGCTAGGGAATGGAAGAAGTATTGAAGGCAAAGGACCCAGAAGAATAAGGCGAGCAGTCGTAGAGCCAGAAATGAATATGCACAGGTAAGAAGGGAGGCCCAACGACAATATGAAAACGACATAGCAGCGAAAGCCAAATCTGACCCGAAGCTGTTATACAGCCACATCAGGAGGAAAACAACAGTCAAGGACCAGGTA